CAAATGAGACAAAAACATTTGAATCAGCTAATAAATGTGGGAAATTGTTGGCTTGGCAAATGAAAAAAAGACAAAAATTAAATACTATTATAAATTTAGAAGTGGAAGGAAAGAACATACAGAACCCAGCTGAGATTAAAAACTGTTTCCAGAGGTACTTTAAACAATTATATACACAAGGGCCACAGAAAGAAATTGACATAGATCGATTTTTGAAGATAAATGGACTCCAAATATCTCTCAAGAAAGTAAATTAATGTTGAACTATAAAATATCTGAACAGGAAGTAGAAGGTGCCATTCAAAACATGCAACTAGGCAAATCTCCAGGACCGGATGGGCTGACTTCTAGATACTATAGATCCTTGAAAGAGTGGTTAGTACAACCTTTAAAGGAAGTCTGCAATGAAATATTGGAAGGGAAAAGGGCACCAGAGTCGTGGAAAGAAGCGTATATTACACTTATACCGAAAACAGAGACTGAAAAGACCCAGCTTAAGAACTACCGCCCCATATCATTACTTAATGTGGATTACAAAATTTTTGCAGATATTTTGGCCAAGAGATTGAAAAAAGTGTTGATGGAAGAGATTCATAAAGACCAAGTGGGCTTTCTCCCAGGAAGACACTTGTCTGACAATTTGAGGAATATAATTAATATTTTGGAAAAACTAGAAGTGAATATCAACACTAAGGCAGTTTTGATATTTGTGGACGCGGAGAAAGCTTTTGATAATATCTCTTGGAGTTTTATGAAGAAGAACTTACAGGGGTTGGGGGTGGGTGAAGGATTTGAAAATGGTATAGGTGCAATTTATTCTGAACAAAAGGCCAAGTTAATTGTTAATAATGAGGTGACGGAGGAATTCAAGATAGAAAAAGGGACACGACAAGGTTGCCCAATTTCCCCATTGCTTTTTATATCAGTCCTGGAGGTTTTGTTGAATATGATTAGAAGGGACCAGTTGGTTAAAGGTATACAAGTCAGAGCTAGACAGTATAAACTGAGAGCTTTTGCAGACGATTTAGTATTGACATTACAGGAGCCAGAATCTAGTACTAAAAGGGTTTTGGAACTGATTCAAGAATTTGGTCAAGTTGCAGGATTTAAACTGAATAAGTTAAAAACAAAGGTTTTAGAGAAAAACTTAACAGTGATTGAAAGAGAAAGGTTTCAGAATGAGACAGGTTTAACAGTGGTCAAGAAAGTGAAATACCTTGGGATTAATATGACAGCTAAAAATGGGAACTTATTCAAAGACAATTATGAAAAATGTGGGACGGAAGTGAAAAAAGACTTAGAAATTTGGTCAAATTTGAAGCTTTCATTGCTAGGCCATATTGCTGCGATAAAAATGAATGTATTGCCTAGAATGTTGTTTTTGTTTCAAACATTGCAAATTGTGGACAAAATGGATTGCTTCAAGAAGTGGCAGAGAGATATTTCTAGATTTGTCTGGCAGGGCAAGAAGCCTAGAATAAAATTTAAAATATTAACGGATGCAAAGGAAAGAGGTGGATTTGCCCTGCCAGACCTTAAACTTTATTATGAATCAGCAGCTTTTTTGCTGGCTGAAAGAATGGCTGCTTCTTGAAAACACAGACATTTTGGATCTAGAAGGCTTCAATAATGTATTTGGATGGCATGCATATTTGTGGTATGATAAGGTCAAAGCACATAAAGCATTTAAGAATCATATTGTCAGGAAAGCATTGTTTAATGTCTGGATAAGATATAAGGATTTATTGGAAAACAAAACCCCAAGGTGGCTGTCACCGATGGAAGCAAAAGCACAGAAAAAGCTCAATATGGAGGCCAAATGGCTGAAATATTGGGAAATTCTGGAACAAGAGGGAGATAGACTGAAATTGCAGAGTTTTGAGAAACTAAAAACAAAGTGCGAGATTGGCTTCATTATTATCAGATAATGGAGGCATATAATTCGGACAAGAAAATTGGCTTCCAGGTGGAAAAATCAAAATTAGAAACAGAACTGTTAGAACCCAAAACTAAGATTTTGTCAAAGATGTATAACTTGCTGTTGAAATGGAATACTCAGGATGAAACGGTGAAATCTGTAATACTTTAAAAAAGCCTAATAAATATCTTATAAAAAAAAAAAAGAAACGGTGAAATCTGCTATGATTAAATGGGCACAAGATGTTGGACATAATATAATGATGGCTGACTGGGAACAGTTATGGACCACAGGTATGAAGTTTACGGCATGTAATGCCTTAAGAGAGAATATTATGAAAATGGTATACAGGTGGTACATGACTCCAGTCAAGCTTGCAAAAATCTATCATTTGCCCGATAATAAATGTTGGAAATGTAAAGAAACTGAAGGTACATTCTTTCACCTTTGGTGGACGTGCCCAAGGATTAAGGCTTTCTGGGAGATGATCTATAATGAATTGAAAAAAGTATTTAAGTATACCTTCTTGAAGAAACCAGAGGCCTTTCTCCTGGGCATAGTCGGCCAATTGGTGCCAAAGAAGGATAGAACTTTTTTTATGTATGCCACAACAGCAGCAAGAATACTCATTGCAAAGTATTGGAAGACACAAGATCTACCCACTCTGGAAGAATGGCAGATGAAGGTGATTGACTATATGGAACTGGTGGAAATGACTGGCAGAATCCGAGACCAGGGAGAAGAGTCGGTGGAAGAAGATTGGAAGAAATTTAAAGACTATTTACCGAAATATTGTAAAATTAATGAATGTTAGAATGATGTTGGATAGAAATTAAGTGGTTTATAGCTGCAATACTATAAGGGAATATGAAAAATGGATTACTAACAGGTAAAAATTTAATGTTACAATATTTTAAGATTAAAGATTAGGATAAACAAAGAGGGGAAGGATTTGCTGAACCAACAAACCGAACTGGAATACAAAAAAGGGAGGCGTGAGGAGGTCCGGGAAACAAGCTAATGAAAAATAAGTAATGGAAAGATTGAGTTGTTTCTAACTATTTTTATTTTGTATTTTTCTTTTTTCTATTTTTATTTTGTAATAACTTGAAAATCTTAATAAATATCTTATAAAAAAAAAATGATGAGTAAATCAGCCCATCGAAAAATAACAGAATGGGAGAACTATGGTATATTAGTTCTTCAAAGGCAGTTACTACTCAGCTTAGTAGACGTGGTCCCCAGGCCTCACCACCACTCAGTCACCAGATCTACCAGAAATGATAGACCTGTCCTTTGGCACTAGTTATGGATCTATGTACATTTTGTACTTTGCTGCATTTCTCCTGGAAAAAATCCTGCAGATGCCCTGAGTTCTTACATGGTCAGACTGCTGCAATGGAACATATCTTGTTGCAACTATGACTCTAAAAAACAAGTTTTTGCATTAGCATCCAGTCTTTGAAAATTTTCATATATACACGAGCAGGAACCTTTTTTTCTGACCTATGGAAAGTGAGGGAAAGATCAGTCCTCTTCTTTTGGTTTCACCTTCGTAAGAGAGAATCTTGCCAGTTAAAGGAGGGAGGACATTCAAGTCCTTGGGCATGACCACCATTCTTACAGCCTTCGCTTCCTGTGGCTGAGTGGGAGACTGAGACTGGAGTCACAGGGCGGTGTTCCCTGGAGTTGCAGGGTGGTGTTCTCTGATCCTTCAGTGGACAGCCAGATGCCAAAGAGGCCAGGATTCCTCTCTCTGTTCAAACTTTATAGTAGAGAGAATTTGAGCAGGTCCATCTTGTCCTGAAGGGATGAGAAGAGTTCTAGTTTTCAAAATTATTATCTGAGACAATCCCTGTCCCCCTCTCTGCCTGGTCAGCCTAAGCACAGCAGTACAATGTTTCCACTTCCGTATAAGAACATTTTTCACACCTCCATCCAGCTCCGAGCTTACATTTCATTTTGCGTGCCTTAGTGCTGAGTATTGCGATTACACGCATAACATTTCTCATCTGATGAAATATTCACTGTGTGCCATCACATTGTTTTCAGCTGCCTGTGGTATGTTGCCATGGCAGAGGAAGATCCTGCTGTGTTCACCTCTGGCACTTTGCCCTCTGACCCCCGTCTCCTTGCCACGGTGACCAACGCCTACCTGGGCACTCGTGTCTACAGGGACATCTTGCATGTAAACGGGGTGTATAATGGAGCAGTCGGGGACTGTCATCGTGCTGATGTTCCCAGCCCTATTAATGTCAAAATGAGTGTGGCTGCTGAGGACAGCCTGGCCGAGACTTTCTCATTAGACACCAGGACAGGTAAGTGTCAACAGTGCTGTTGCTTTTCATTGCAAATGCAGCAATGCCACAATGATGGGGCTAGGTTATTTAGCTTGCACTGAGCATGGGCATTGTTTTAAAAGGAAGCTCTTACTTTTAAAGAGACAAAGGTGAACATTGAATAGAGTGTGCTGGTATTGGGCTCAGGATGTCCTGGATTCAAATTCCCACAAAGTTCAGTAAGTTTTTAGCGCTAATTGTAGTCTATCAACCGGTTTTGAAATAAAGCTTAAATGCAATCCAAAGTATACCACTCCAGAGGAAACTTAGGATTCAGATGTAATCAATTTTTCCAGTACAATGTGTTTAAGATCTGGAGGTTTTTCTCTCTTCTTGTGCTACTAGACAATTTTTTCAATTCCATAGGGTGCCTGATATAATTCTTATTTCAGTAAATAACAAAACGAAGGTTTTTTTAACCTCATTATTTGTCCAAGTATATCATTTTAGTGTTGTAGATTGTGTTTAGATGTTCTTGTCCCAAAAGTGAACTTTGAACCAGACAGACCTTGTGTGAAATTTGTGTTGTTAGGCTTTCTTTAGAACGTAAATAAAAGTGTAAGAATCTGAATTCACATGGATCATTTTCTTTCCTTTTTCCTGCAGGGACCTATATCCACAGAATCCAGGCTCCGGGTTATACAGCCACTCACAGGATCTATGCCCACCAATCCCTTGTTCACCTTCTGGCCTTCAGCGTAACCATCCAGAGGTCAACGCTTGAAGGCGAACCCATTACTGTGAATCTACAGACCCAATTCACACTTGAGAGTCCAGACCTGGACTTGCACAGAGGGGCAGATTTCCAGGGAGCTCAGTGAGTATCATTATGAGAAGATTTGGTCAGATTTGTGTTGTCCTCCTTCCCCTGAGATTTAAAGACAGTGCCAGAAAGTATTGAGTACTTCCTGTGGTTTGGAAGAGAGGCCATAGCTCAGTGGTAGAGCACATACTTTGCATGCAGAAGGTCCAGGTTCAGTCTCTGGCATCTCCAGGGAGTCCTTGGAAAGACTCCTGCCTGAAACAATGCCAAACTAGATGGAACAATGACCTGAGTTCCTGAAGGCAACTTCTTATGTCCCTGTGTTTGAATATAGGCAAGCCCAAGGAACAACGGCAGCCCCATTCAGAAGATGTTGGCAGATTAATGGGGGAGAAGATCTACCATGTATATCTTGATATCTTTTTAATGTTCTTAGGATGAGAGTTGTAGTCCAAAATATCTGAGCTACCCTTGAGGCAGGGCAAAGATGCGGAGAGTTTGAAAAGTAAGGAGGACAAAGATTTAGCACCGGATGTGGATGGGAGCTGGGAAACCAGTGGTAGGATTAACGGTAGAGTTAGAGATGGGGTTTGAATTCCTTGTGTGATTCTCTGATCTGATGAAAGAACCGTAAGGTCTTCCTTCCTGCAGCTTTTCTCTCCCTCTCTCCTCTAGCTACGTCTATGGAAAGACTTTGGTCCCTGAGGTGGAAAGTGGCCCTCGGCCTACTGTACACATGATCTGGACCCCAGTGCTACAAGCAGTGACCCTCCCTGAGGAGGAGAAGGAAAAAACCTGGGAGTTCCTCACAGCTGTGGCAGAGAGTGAAGAGGACGTGAAAAGGAGCTTTAGTGAAGGAATGTCACTGATTGTCTCTCGTTCATTGTATGTGTCTCACGTCCAGGCGTGGACAGCCCTCTGGAAAGGATGCTGTGTGGAAGTTGAGGGACCTCTTTCACTGAGCCAGGCTGTTTATGGATGCCTCTATTACCTGCTGAGTGCCATTCCTCCCCTGGGTTCTTCTGACTTCCCATTCTCCGGAATTAGCCCTGGAGGCCTTTCTAATGGCACCTCGGGTGAAGATTACTGGGGCCATGTCTTCTGGGACCAGGTGATCCGAAAGGCACTACTGTGTCTCCAGTTTCCCATCTCTGTACAGAGGTGATGAAGTGCAGAAATCAGGAGATGCCAGTAGGGAAGATATAGCCCCGAACTGAGCTTATTCTTTGGTTGCTTGGGCAAATATTGGCTTTCCAGAGTATATAATTTTGAGAGATAAAGAACAGGAGGTGGCGTGAATTCTGCAGAATTTTTTCTGTGTGCTATATTATTTAAGTTTTGTGTAACTGGCTCCAGAATGAAGTATTGTCTTGTTATATACACAGCTTGTGGTGAGTGATCATGAAAGACTTGTTCAAAATCAAGGAAACTGAGTCGGACTATAAGTCTTCTCTAACCCAGTACCTCCAAGATGTTAGGCAGAGAGAGATTTTTCCAGTCCTGTAGACTGAGATCTTTTAAATTAAAGATGCCGGAAAATGAAACTGGAACTATAGGTTGAAGGAATTTAAAGGGGTTCCTAGACTGGAGGTAACCCTTCAAGAAAACCAAAGAAAAAGGACATAGACTTCGAGTAAAAAGATTGGCCTTTATTAAAACATATGTAGGGGTCAGCCTTTCGCAAATCCCAGAGGTTACCTGTTTTTAGCTCTTGAACACTATCTTGTATACACGCCACTGAACTAACATGTATTTTTTTTTAAGCCATGGAAGGGAAAATCTGTAGCATATACCTTTCTAAAAAGTCAGACATGAGCACTATCCCCTAATCCAGCGGTAAGGAACCTGTGGCTCTCTAGACGCTGTAAGAGAGCATCTTATGTGGGCTACCACTATCCTACATCATTAAAAGCTTCAGGAACAATCAACATACAGATTTTATGACCAGGTTAGTGGTGGTGAGCTAGAAGGAATATGAGCTTGTCCATCTAATAACAATATGTGATGTTGTCGTTAAACTCAGGATACCTGGATGTACCCAAACATCTTGCTTTTCTATCCGGAAGCAGCTTCTGCTATCCTGAAATACCGGATTCGAACGCTAGGAGGAGCTCTGTGCAACGCACAGGAGCAAGGATACAAGGTAGGAGCAACAGGAACAGAATGGGGACCTTACTTGACAAAGGGATTGCTGAGGTCTAAAAAGAGAGAGGGAGAGAGATTGCCCCATGAGGGTGCATGCACTCTTATTTTTTCCACGCATCATATTTGTTAATATCCCACTGCTTCCCATCTACACTGCACAATGCCGCTTGTCAGAAAATAATCCTGGGTATGGCGTTTTGTTCCCATGGGAAGAGGAATGATTAGTAAACCACTCTGGGAATTGTAGCTCTTTGCTAAAGTTCCCAGGGCTCTTTGGGAGAAACCATGACTGTGGTACGATTCTGATTTAAATGTATAGTGCAGATGGGACCATTCTGATTTGTTTCAAATGGATTATACAAAGCGGGTCACGATCAGTGTCTAGTACGCATGACTTTCAACAGCAGCTAATGTGCAAGGTGGTCCTGGGTTTGAAATCGCCCACAGAAATAGAGAATCACCATTTGAATTATCATCTCTTTTGAGCACTACTTGATTTGATTGTGGCAGGGTGCAAAGTTCCCCTGGGAGAGTGCAGCAACAGGCCGAGAGGTCTGCCCTGAGGAGGTTTATGGAAATGAGGAAATCCACATCAATGGAGATGTTTTGCTGGCATTTGAGCAGTATTACTACATCACTCAGGTACTAAGTGTGGGGCATATTGTATGGCATTGTTGGTAAATGAATAAAACTCTAGCCTCAGGCATCTGCTTTTGAAATTGAGAGAGCTTCATCTCTGAAGACAGTGTCGTATTCCTCTTTCCAATTAATGCACCTGATATTTACCTCTCATTCCCCCTGAACCATGTTCACAGAATCATAGAGCTGGAAGGGATCAACCCCCTGCAATGCAGGAATATGCAGCTGGCCTTTATGGGGATCGAACCTGCAACCTTGGCATTATCAGCACCAAGCGCTAACCAGCTGAGCTATCCAGCTGATGTTATCCTGTTCTAGGATGGAAACGTGGAGCTCAGTGGCCCTCTGAGCTCCTCTTTCCTGTCTTGTTCTAGGACCTGGAGCTCTTTCATCAGGCAGGAGGCTGGGAGGTGGTCCATGCTGTGGCTCAGTACTGGTGCAGCCGGGTGGTGTGGAACCCAGAAGACCAGAGCTATCACATCCCCGGTAAATATGCGCAAGGGGGACTCCTCCTCCACCGAAAAGACATACACCGACTTTTGCATTTCCTGTGCTGCCTCTTGAGCTGCCTGCAATCTGCTACTATTACACTTCTCATTCAGGTGCAAAGTGATTTGCCTTTGGTTTTCTGGCCTCTTTCCTTAATCCTCTGAGGGGAAACCAGACACAATTCTGGGGAAGCAGGAGAGATGGCTTTGTGTATGTCACAAGGACCAACCTGTCAGCCCTCAGCTCTGCCCTTCTTCACATGTGCAAACTGGAAGAACAGGTTCCCCACCACCATCACCAACTCAATGCTGGGACGAAACAGTTTGTCCGCCTGTGTCCAAAATGCAGTGAATGTGCTTGCGCAGGAGTTTCGACCAGGACATTATACATGCCCGTCTGCATGCCCTTTCTCTAAGGCACATCTCTAGGCGCTTGGAACTATGTTTGCAGTGACTGCTAAAATCTCAGAGGAGCTATAGGAGGGAAGGACTGTAGCTCAGGGGTAGAGCCCCTGCTTGGCATGCAGAAGGTCCCAGCCTCAATCCCCAGCATCTCCAGGTAGGGCAAAGAGAGACCTTTGCTTCTGAAACCTTGGAGAGTCATTGCCAGCCGCTGTAGAGCAGACAATATAGAGCCAGCTGGAGCCACCATCTGATTCAATATAAAGCAGCTTGCCGTGTTCCAGTGCTGATGAAGTGGGGCTTAGTTATCTGCATGACTCCTTGCCGTATCCCATACCTAACAGCAGATATATGCAAAAAGTGCAAAATAGGCAAGTATATGCACAATAGACTTAACCTGCAACATTTATTTGGCTCCTGGAATCTGACTTTTCTTGACTTGGGCTCATTCTGAATTTTCAAAAAATCCAGGAAGTGCTTCCATGTTCTGCCTTCTTCTAGGTGTCCTGCCCCCTGATGAATATCACTGTGCTGTAGATAACTCTGTTTATACCAATGTCATTGCCCAGAGGAGGTAAGGGACTTGCCGAATTGATGACATTTTCTCTCTATGCTCTTCTGGTCTCTCTTCTTCTTCTTCTTCTTCTTCATCATCATCATCATCATCATGCTTGGGTGATGGATACAGGCAAAGGAATCCATAAATTAATTGATTAATTAAAAGTTCTTTTCAAAAGGTTTGTACCACCTTACTTCCAAATAGCAGGCTGCTTGACCATAAAATTATGAAAGGCCATAAAATTCACTGCATAAGGTAGCAGCAGAATAAAAGAAGATGCAGGGGATAAAACAACAATGAAATAATTGTTATAATAAATTAATAACTCAGCAAGATCTTCAAATTAGACCAAACAACACAAAACAAAATCTCTTTACAGAATTAACCATCAGTTCTGATTCCTACCTCCAATACTGATTATTGCCTAAAGGACAGCTCAGCTCTAAATGATTAGTTTAGCTGCAGGAAGAAGTCGAACAACTTGGTTCCATGTTCCATTAAAAAAGCTTAACTATGGGTTAGCTCAGTGTGGCACAGCAGCAAACCAGCCGGCCACAGTCTCCTCTCGCAGAGCCTGCACAGTAGTGTTCAGCCATGGTGTGATGTGTGAGCTAGGCTGACCATTTACATTTCCTGTTTGACCCGCCACCATTTTCCTTCATGGTCCCTTTACTCTAGGTTTTGACAGCTTGATTGATGCCTTTTAAAACATGGAGGTTGCTTCCACACTCATCCTGATTTGTTTGCGGAAAGCTTGTAGGGAGCTCAGATGACAATGAACGTTCAATCAGATTGGTTTGTGGGGAGTTTACAAGACCTAGTATCAAGCACCATTACCCCCACACTTTCCAATACATTTCCCCATAACTTTCCTTTCTGCAACAATTTCAGTTTGGTGGAGGAAGAGGGCTTGTTGTGCAAGACCTCCAAGTCATCTTTAATTGTTCAACATGAATTTGCCACTAAGTGACCGAATCCTCCACAAAAATAGCAGCAGTCCAGAAGCTCCCTAAAGCTTCCCACCTTGTAGCTCTCAGCCTTGCCCTGCTAGCCCAACTCTTTCTTTCCGTCTTCATTTTTTTTGTAAAGCTTTTTTTTTAACCTCTCTTTTCTTTGCTGCTTTCCAGCTTGAATTTTGCAGTTGACTTGGGGTCTCAGTTGCATATTCCAATCCCTGAAGAGTGGGAGGAAGTTCGGAAGAAAATTAAAGTGCCTTTTGATAAAAGCAGGAATTACCACCCAGAGTATGATGGGTACTGCCCAGGTGAGTCGGTTCATGACAAGGGAGTGTGTGGTGGGCCTAACCCTTTATAACAGTTGTTGTGCAGGTCAAAGTCTTCACATCAGTGTCACTTGCCTTGCTAGTAAAATGGGTTTCCGTGTGCAAACGTGTGGGGCACCAAAATGGGCAGAGGAGGATAGGAGTAATTTCCCACATACCAGAGAGAACCCCCACTGTATTTAGACCCTAGGTCCCTGTGATGGGATGATGAGCTGCTTGTGCGTAAAATCGTATCCCCTCAGAGTTTGTTCAAGTCCACAAACCTCTGTCTGTGACGGAGCCCCTCAGACATGGCTCCTCTAGTCACTAGCAGATTCCGACAGTGGTTGCTTTCGTAATCGCTTCCAACATAAAAGCTCCTTAACGGAAACACGTCTTCTGGACTCTCTGCGTGACAGTTTCCGGCGAGGAGTGGGTGTTCTTACAGGAGGTCCTGAAACCTCCCCACTGTTTTCGCTGGAAGTGTCTCTGAGCCATCCCTCCAGCTCACTTTCCCTCAGCTCAGCTCCTCTCCTCCTGCTGGTTCCCTCTTCAGCTGCTGAGTCTCTCCCAACCTGTGTGAGCCCTTTCACCTCCCTGCTGGTTCCCTCTTCAGCTGCTGAGTCTCTCCCAACCTGTGTGAGCCCTTTCACCTCCCTTCCGTCCGATGGCAGTTCCCTGACAGTCCCCAACCAAACCTCAGAGTAGCAGAGTCTGAGGCAGGGAACACAGGAAGCTTTTTTATATATATACCTAGCTCAGTATTGTATATTGTGACCAGCACTGTCTCTTCACGGTTTGAGGCAGGAGTCCCTCCCAGCCCTGCCTGGGTTTGCCAGGGATCGAACCTGGGACCTTTGGCTCTGGCACCGCAGTCTCTTGTGCTCCATGCACACTGCCCTCATGCCACCACAGAACACTGGCAGCAGGGAACAGAGAAGCATAAACCCTCCGCTGCCAGAGTTGACATTACATTTGGCATCAGAAGTGGAGTTTCCTGCGTTCAGAGGAGACACACCGCCTCCTGAGTCTTTCCACAATTTGGAAGATGAGGGGGAAGGAAGGGAATTGACCTTGGAAGGCACTTCTTGAAGTCCAGTTTCCTCCCTGAGGAGTCTGTTAGTCTGCACGAACACACACACACCCTCGGCAGTTTCAAGTAACACAAGGGGTGGGAGTAAGAGAATTCATCTTGGAGAACGTGCATCCTCCCTCACACATCCTCCAAATCCAGTTTCTCCACCTTGAAGGCACTTGTGCAAGATGTCTGTCTTGCCCCCTGAGTGCAACTGGTTTGCACACACCAGTTATTATGAGGCAAGGTGGAGCCATTTGCCCCAAGTGACATATCCAAACAACATCATGGCACCACAGCCAGCCCCATTGGGGCTTCCCATGCTGTTGTCCTAGCTGTTGCGCCCGCTGCGCCCTCACTGCTGCATCACGGCAGCAGCGCAGGTGCAGCCGCAGGTAAGGGTACAGTTGTGTCAACGGGACTAGCAGCACAGGGGTAGAGGTAGGGTCCGGGATATGTGATGGGGAGCTGTATAGGGGCATTTTGCCCACAGCGGCATCTTAGGCTAGCCCTGCCTAATATTCTTAAGTTGAAAAGCTGTTATTATATAAAGCAATATCAAGCTGTGATGAGCCACTTACTGTCTCATAGAGAATGTATTGCTGAAGGATGGCTTTCTCGCATAATCACTGTACCATGATCTCACCTTTGTAGGGTGATGACTAAAAAAGACCTGCTAGCTGTCTCCTAGGGCTGCCAGAAAAAGGTTCCTGGCAGGGCTCCTGGGCCCTTTTAATTGCTGCACAGCCTGTGCAAATGCATTGTGGGAGAGCTGCAAGTGCACAATTTTTGCCTGCTGTTCATCATACCTCCTTGTTAACAGGAAAATTACAGGCTACTTGTCACCCAAGGTAGTCTGGCAATTTCGTATCTGGTACAATTCGCCATAAGGCATGTGGGCCGGGGTCACATGTGTATCTTGCCTCTTGTTCTTTCCTCAGGTGAGCAAGTGAAACAGGCTGATGTTGTCCTGCTTGGATTCCCTGTCATGCATCCCATGGACCCAGAAGTCAGAAGGAATGACCTAGAGATGTATGAGCCAGTGACTGACCCTCAGGGGCCAGCCATGACCTGGGTAAAAAGCCTTGTCTTGAAAAGGATGGAAACCTCAAACGGTTTCAGTGCGAGGTCTTCCATGGGTTTGCTGCTGAAATGAATTTATCTGAATGAGGCTGCGGTGGCCCTCACTGGTAACAGCATTGGTTCCTTTTCTCCATCAGAGCATGTTTGCTATTGGCTGGTTGGAGCTGAAGGAGACCGGAAGAGCCCAACAGCAGCTGAGCAAATGTTTCAGCAACATCACTGAGCCATTCAAGGTCAGGCAGGTCAAACCTTCCCACCCCCTTCTTAAAATTTGATCCCTGTAGGTACCCTTTCCACACAACATCCTTGAAAAAAATATTTTTCTCTGACTCTCTCAGATCTGGGTGGAGAACCCTGATGGATCAGGAGCTGTGAACTTCCTTACAGGGATGAGTGGATTTCTGCAGGCTATCGTTTATGGATACACTGGATTCAGGTACAAGCTGTATTAACAATAATTTTCATGTGCACAGAGGCATAGCTAGGGGACGGGGGGAGAAGGGGACACTGGGCGCCACACCATGGTGGGTGGCACTTAACTGCGCCCGAGCCACACGTCTCCCATGGGAGTGACGCAGTGGCTCGGGCACCTGCAGGTTCCACGCTGCCTGCCACCTCCCACTCAGCTGCGCTACAGCTGAGGGGGAGGCGATGGGCCGACTCCCGGCAGGCTCTGTGCTGCTCAAAAAAGCAACATGGGCCTGCAGGGCGCCAGAGCGGAATGGGGCTCGGCCAGTGGGACTCTGGCGTGCCCTGCCCCACCCCCCATGCATGCCGCACTGGGCACCCAAGCAGCTAGCTATGTCGCTGAATGTACATGGTCCTGAAGTCCATTGGAATAAAAAGGAGCTCCTATCAAAAAGGTGCTCACTACATCAGGAAACTGAATCACATATGAGCTGCAGGTTCCACCTGTTGTCTCTGTAATGATTTGTTGAAGTCAGGAAAGATGAATCCCCATCCCTCCTGTCCCTGCCACCCTGCTGGATGACTGAAAGACTGGGGAGTGATTGCAACTTGACAAAGAGCTTCAAATAGGGATGGGGGGGCTGGTTTTAAATGGTTACTCTTGCCGGATTGGTCCCTGGCGAGTCACTCTCTGGCCTGCCCCAGTAAAGCCTGTACACCCCCTGGCTCTGAGACTGAAGTAATCCAGTTTCCCCCTGATTTGTCCCCAA